TGGTTACAACGGTACCGAGTTGGGTGCAGGTGCAAAAACACTCGACTCTCAACTTGACTCGGTCCCTTACCATCCTGTTGGTTCTCTGCCTTTCCCGTCATCATCCATTGGGTTGGTAGGTGCAGTCCAAGATGCTACCTCAGTAAGAATAGACTCAACTATTCTTACACATATAAATGTATTTTAAATATATTATTGTATGGATTTATCCATCATCTAAGATTATAGATCAGACTTAATTTTTTACATATCATTAAATTTGTTCATATCATTTTATAGAAGCATTATTAATAATTTATTTACGATGATGAATTAATGACTATATGTTAACAAAATTCGCATTCTAAATTCAAAAATACAATTAGTTTGGTTCATAATCTTTTATATATTTTGCTCTCAATTAAGCTCGTTGCTATTTTGATCCTTTCTATCCACACACACACACACACGTATAGAGCAATTTTCTAAGATGAGGTTTTTATTTTAGCGGTCTACATAAGTGGAGTTTTTATATTTAATTTTTTCAGATGTCGATGCCATATAATTAATTTGTTAGTTAAGGTAATTCACGTCTTATGTCATCTCTTGCTGTAACCATTCATTTAGTACAAAATATATTAAGAAGTGTTTAAAAATATAAAGTATATTTTATTTATAAATATATTAAAATAATATTTTTTTATATTTATTTTTTACATCAGTATATTAAAATAATTAAAACTATAAAAACAATTAATTTTAAATAAAAAATAATTTTAATTTTTTAAAAAACTGTTTGAAATACAATTTTAAACCACATAAGGGCCATTTTTAGAAAAATAAGTTGGCATGGTGTATTCAAAAACAAGATCAGATATCTTTCTTAATAGACACTTTTAATGATGATTTTATCTATTAATAATTTAATCCAAATCTACTTCCCAAATTGGTGTCTCGAAAATTGTTGCATCGTATGGAGTGGTTCCCCTCGCGCAGAGAACTCGCTCATCCATTGCTAATAATAATATTAATAATAATAAAAAAAACTCTTGGGAAATTGACTGGCAAATATGGATCTCCGCTTTTGGAAAAACTATAAACTAGTTGAAGAGTATAGATAAATTGGTAATCAATAGATGGCTGGAAAAACTATAAACCATTTTGAAAATCGTAATCCTATGATATAAATACTATATTATAATAAGATGAATAAAATCAGATATGCATACAGAAATGGTTGAGGATTTGATAACTTTACTATTATATGTGAATTCACAGCTTGCTTTGTGCCCATGATTAAGAAGAACAAATAAAAAAAACGAAGGAAAGAAGTTGCTTTGTGCCTGGAATGGAGACGACTAGGTTACAATAAGTCATTTGCGTTCATGTCTCCCTGGCCCAGATTTCTGCCGATGATTTTGTTAAAGCCCGTAACGAGATTCGTGTACAGGGTGGGGATGTCCCGATTTCTTGGAACGAAACATGGGCAGCCGAAGCAAGGGAAGTTGCTATACGAAGGATCTCCTGCTGCAATTTAATCGAAGACATGTGCACTGAAGGCCTCTTATCTTTGACCGCGTCTGAAGCTATTGGGCTGCGGTGCCAGCTAGAAACCTTCCTAGGATTATTTCACCTAGTCAAAAATTTTACATGATTTTTTTTTTAAATTGGATTTTAAATATTCATGGCAAGCTATCTAATTCATGAATTTATTACTTATATACTAAAACGGGAGAGATTTTCACTGTATATTTTTTACTGTGCAAAATCTTATTGTATGCTAGTCCTCAAACTTTGTTTTTTTGGCAATTAAATATTATTTAAAAAGCAATTAATTTTAAATTTTTATGGGAGGGTGAGATTGAAAGAAAAAGGACTTAAATTAAAAACAAGACAAATATAAGTGACGTCCTATACGTTGAAAACACAATCACTTTAGTTTTTTAACTTAAATAATCACGCAAATTCTATAATTATAGTTCCTTGAAATTGTTTTAATTTATTTTGATATAAAAATTAATTTTTATTAATTTTTTATCTTGAGAAAGAAGAAGGGGTTGCCAAATCCTGACAATTAAAAAAGATTTATTGTTAGTACTGATTCAAATCATAAAAATAAAAAAATTTATATCAAATTATTTTATTTAATACTATATATTCATATTAAATATTTTTATATCAAATTATTATTTTAATATATTTATAAATAAAAAATATTTTTAAAATAACTATTATTATAATACTAAAAAATATCTCAACAGTTTATGGCAACCATAGAACAGAAAATTATTATATCAATTAAACTTACATGGAGTTGGGAGCAAAGTCACTCTTTGCTGCGACGTTATTGATTGATGATTTTTGTTTTGAATCAACAATTATTTATTATTCTCAAAAGTATACATTTAATTTTGCATTGACTTAATGGAATTAATTTTTTTTTATAATGAAAGGTGATTTAAAACCTTGAATTAAAACTATAAGTTAATATTAATTGATGATCGAGTTCCCAGGATATGACTGATTTGGTGCACGAATGGTTGATTAATTTTACAACATGTGTATTTTTTTTATATGTTTTTTTTTTCATGGAATTGTGAGATATTTGATATTTTGATTTATATTTATAAATTTTGTAGCCGTGGTTGCTTGTAGAATTCAAAACAAAGATACAAAGTACAAACCTATCAATAAATTTTTTTTGTGCGGTAGTTGTATTTTATTAAGTATTTCATGATTTATTTTGAAAAAAAAAACACAATAAAATGAGAAAAAACTTTATTATTCACAAAAAAAAAAATGATAAGAACATCTAGATTTCTTTCTCCACTTATATTTTTTAAAAAGATTATTTGATCAGTTTTGCTCGATTCTAGCATGTTCTGCAATTGACGATTAGCCAGGGAGATATAGTGTTTTTTTTACAGGCTATCCGGGTGCATCACTTTACAGTTTACACGAAAAAGAAACAGAATAGTCAAGACTCAAGAGTCTAAGTCGTCCATTTTAAAAAAATAATCCAGTACTGTCTGCTTCTGACTAAAGCATCCTTTTGAAGTTATCTAGATATAGAATCAATTTTAAAATAATTTTTTTCTACATTAATTCCGGTATTGCAACTCGGCATTATATTAAGTCGGAAATTCGATCACTCACTCAACAATTTGACAAAAAAAAAAAATGTATAGAAAGCACGGGTTTGTTATCATTAAATTTTTTTTAACTATTTATTTTTTTAATTAATAACCAACTTCTTGTTATAATTATTTTTGTAAACTTATAATTAAACTTTATAATTCAACAGGTTGTATAATTTAATTAATCAGATTCAATATTTTAAATGTACTTTTTATATATTACTAATTTAAATATTATAAATCTAAAAATTATTCAAGATTTATATAGTTATTAATTTTAAAATTTTTAAAAATTATTTAATATATATATAAACTAACACCAATTATTACCAAAAAAACAAACTAGCTGATGATCAAAGCAGCCCAGATGTTCCTAGCATGTTAATCCATGTTACACGGCAATTCTTTGTTTTGAGAGGCTGCCAACATATATGCTTGACCTCAAAAAAAACAAAAACCTTCACTTTTTTTTTCTCTGTCTCGTGGGGTCTTGACTCATGGTGCTGAGATGAAACACGTTTGGATATTCTCGAATATGCTAACTTTTGATGGGCGTGTTACACGCCCTTCTTCTCTTAATTTTATGAGAGGTAATATTTTCGAATAAATTCGGCAAATAAAGATTGAATTATTTTTGTCATTCTGCCAAGGTCAGTTATTGCTAAAACTTTAAGATTCATGAGAACTTTAACATCCCAAAAGGAGATAAATCCCTAAAAATCAGGCTAATACTCCCTCTTGTTCATGTTAATCCATTTTGCATATCATGATTCATTCAAAGATTTTTTTAAAAAAAATTCTTTGAATGATTACATGTCACTAGGAAAATCAATTAGTTGTTCGGTAATTTCTCAAGAGAGATAAAAAAAAAAAAGGGTCATGTTCTAGACGCAACAATGGAAGCGGCGTGATTTGTGGAACAAAAACTTTCAAGGACAAGAACAAGATTAATGCAAGCAGGCGGTAAGAAGAGGAAAAACATAGGAAATACAAAATGCCATATAATATTCTAATCTGTATCTATTGGCCTTGTATTTTTCATGTCTGCTTTCTGTTTTTATATTATTTTGTTTTTCCTTTTTTTTTTTTTAATCTCTTGCTTTTGGCTGCTTTCTAGTTATTCCCATCAATATATTGAATTCTTCCAAAAAAATTTTTACATAAAACTCACTAACTCATGATGAAATCCAGAAAGAAAATATCTTAACAATTGAACACGTTGATCAGGCACAATCATATGTCGTTAGCATCGATTTATTCAAGAAAATCGATTTAGAATTTGGCACCTATGATAATATTCAAATAAATTTCTTCTAATTAAACTTTTTCATATTAAAAAAATCAATTCCAATAAAAAACTTAAAATATGTATCAAATAAGATTTTAAAATATAATTTATATTATTTTTAAACATATTTTTTAAAATGAAAAAATTTTTAAACTTAAAATTTATATAACCTCATATTATTTTATAATTAATTTTTATCAAATAAATAAGATAATGAAATTCAAACTTATATTTACTTGATTATTAAAATTTTAATATTATATTAAAAAATTAACGTAGCTCAAAATTTTAAATTGATGAGATAATATATATAATTTATAATATTCTACATAAATTAAACCATTTGATCGAATCACTTGCTGCCAAAACATCCATTCATTTTCATCCGATGAATGTGAAGCCGACAACTTCTTCAACTTTTCCAAGGGACTTGCTTTGGAGGGCGTCATTTAACGCTATTGTTTTGAACACTCGACGCAGACCATCGAGCCAAGCAGTTAACGCTATTGTTTTGAACATTCTACGCAGACTTCGCTTGCATACGTCCAAGTCATCGTTCACATAATGTTGCATAACGCCTATAAATACCGCTTGAGCTCTCATTGTTATTTCATCCATCACCTACGAAATTCTTTTGCAAGATAAAGAAAAGAGAAAGTGTGCAAAATGATGTCAAGCAAGATTTCTCTTGCTTTCTTTACTCTTATAATAACCCTATCCCTAATCCTTCCCTCTCGTGCCCAAGACAACCCACAAGATTACCTTGATGCTCATAATGCAGCTCGTGCAGCTGTAGGTGTTGGTCCACTAACCTGGGACACCACAGTGCAAGCCTATGCACAAAATTATGCTAACCAACGTGCCGGCGATTGCAACCTTGTCCATTCAGGTGGACCTTACGGGGAGAACCTTGCATGGAGCAGCGCGGACCTTTCAGGTACAGATGCTGTAAAAATGTGGGTTGATGAGAAGGCTTACTACGACTACAGCTCCAACTCATGTGCCGCTGGCCAGCAGTGTGGGCACTATACTCAGGTGGTTTGGCGTAACTCTGCTCGCCTAGGATGTGCTAAAGTGAAGTGTAGCACCGGAGGAACCTTCATTGGGTGCAACTATGATCCACCCGGCAATTATGTTGGGCAAAAACCTTACTAAACCTTTCTGATTATGAAATTAGTGCTTCTATTACCTGGAATAATAGTGATAAATAAGCTGATTTATATTGGCATTAATTAATATATGATAGAAAAATATTTGCTACATCTTGATGATATGCTGGCATACAGGAAGTTCACGTGGCATACGCTTGGATGATGTTTTTTTTTTTTTATATATATATATATATATATATAATTAGCTTCTTATAATTTTAATTATAGTCAGAATGATCACAACTTATGTGTTATAGCATCCAATTTCAATTCAAATTACTACGAAGTTGAACTAAAATTGGATGTTTTAGAAAGTGAAAATTAATCTTGCATAACTCATGCATACTAGCAGATTACCGTCCGTGTTGTTGCTTTATATACATATACATATATATATATTTTAAATTGTAGTCTACTTGTCACACCTGCGAATTCACAGTGAACTTTAAAAATTCAATCAAATAAAAAGAACAAATTCTAGACATTTTATTCTTTTGTCCTAACCCAATTTTTTGACCCTTTTTATTTGAATTATTATTATTATTTTATTTCCTGAAAAATGATAATAAAAAAAGAAAAAAGAAAATAAATGATGATGAAAAAAAAATAAAAAATAAAAAATAAAAAAATGATGAAATAAATAAAGAATGAATTAAAATTTGGATTAAGGGCAACATGATTGGAAGTTTTGGGATTTAATTTTATTAACCAAATTAAAAACTTAATTAAATAATTGATAAGTTTTGGACTTAATTGAACTTGACATTAGTTTAATTTATGAAATCAGAGGCTTAATTGAAGAGATACTAAAGTTTGGGGCTGATTCGGGTTAAAACTGCAAGAAATTGAAGTCTAAGGACCATTCTGTAGATGGTGCTAAACTCCAGGGTTCCAATTAACGTTTATCCAGGAAGCTTGATTACAAAACTTCAAAGGACCAAATCAAAAATAGCAGTTGAATGGAAAACGGAGCCGTTTCTTGGACAACTGTTCACTGTCTTCTTCCTCCGTTTCGACCGTTTGCAGCCAACGCTTACGTTTCGTAATTGAGGGCGTTTTAAAGAGTCAGTTAAAGGGCATTTAGGAGGCCGGCCGTTACCACCACGGGGCTGTCTCTGGCTTTATAAAAGCCAGAGAAAGGCCACTGGAAAAAAAAAAAAAAAAAAAACAGAGAGATCACGGGGAAAGAAAAAACATAGAAGACAAACAGAACAAAAAACACAGAGACGAGAAGGAAAGAAAAACAGAGGAGCAACGCAGAGACAAGGATTGGCCCTGCCATTGACTTCATCCCTGTAGAAAAAAGAACGACCCAGAAATTATTTTCCACAGAAAGTCGGCATCTGCATCATCTTCTTAGCTCCTTCATCATGTCAGAAGTTGCCGGAAAAAGAAAGTAGACGGTGGACACAGAAAGAAGAAAGTAACAGACGAGAGTCACCACCAGCGCTGCAACCATCTTCATCGCCTCCCGAAGCAGGTACGCCCGTTCCTTTCTCCTTTCATTCTCTGCATATTTTATTCATAAACACTGTGCGAAGGTAATTTAATTACCTCCACACTGTGCAGCACGCGTGAAGTTACTGCACGCATGCCCAGCCAAGTCACTGGCTTGAATCGGTATCCGGGTCGGGTTAATTGGGTCTAACCCAACTCTGTATTAATTAAGTTGGAACCAGTTTAAAAAATAAAATAAATAAATAAATATATACATGAATAAATAAATACAATATAAATTTATTAATTTATTTATTGATGTTAGAGCCAAAACTAAAAATACTCATTTAAATTTATTTTATTTCATTATATTTTGTTTTATTTTATTTAGCTTGATAAATAAAAAGTAAAAAAAAAAAGTGTATACATAGAAAATAAACTTATTTTATTTGTTTATTCATTTATGTTAGAGTTAGAAGTAAAGTAAATGATTTAGATTTATTTTGTTTTTATAACTACGTAATATTTACCAATGCTAAAGTTAGAAGTATTCGTGATTAAATATTTATTAGCACTTGAGTCGGGAATATTAAGTAAATATAAAATAAATAAACTATCATAACACAAACTAAAAAACTTTAGCGCTAATAAATATTCAACCGCGGATACTTCTAACTCTGACATTGGTAAATATTATAGGTAAACTATCATAACACAAACTAACAAACTTTTAGCAATTTAAGACAAAACTATCATTGCAACTTAATTTAGATAGGATGCGTTAGGGGTACTAATACCTTCTCTAGCCATAACTAGTCTCGAATTATAAAATCTCTGTTGACCAATTAGGGTTTCTATTGACCATAATATTAGGTGATGACTCCTTAAATAAGACATTTCTTCATCAAAAGAATAAGATGTTAGATATCTATTTTTTTTTTCTAATTTAGATTATATTTTTTTAGGGTCTTCTTGATGTCTGGGTGTGACATCTTTGATGAGAAAAATGTCTTGTTTAAAGAGTCATCATCTAATATTATAGTCACTACAAATACTAATTGATTAATAGAGATTGATACGATACTAGTTACATGAAATAAAAGATACTATCACCTTTTAAGTATCTTATCTGAGATAGATTACATTACTGACTTTGTCTTAAATTGTTAAGAGTTTGTTTGTTTATACTATGATGGTTTATTTGTAAGATTCCTGACTCTAGTATCAGTGAATATTTAACCATGAAAATTTTTAATTCTGAAATTGATAAATATTACGTAGTCTAAAAAACATATGATATTTGTTTTAATAAAAAAAAAAATCTTTTTATGAAAAAAAAGCACTTTTAGATCTCATCTTTTTATGAAAAAAAAGCACTTTTAGAAAATAAACATGATAGTCCAATTAGTTGATTTCATCGACTAATCACTACCCTCATGAGATATTATCTTGAAATCAATTAACTAATAATGACCGCAATTACTTCTTTAGTTAGTCCCTTGTGGTGTTCATGCCGATTAAATTTTGAGGAAATTTTAGTGTGATGGTCTAAAATAAGTTTCCCTTACCTTATATATAATATCAGTATGTCTAACTTTTATCATCAATAAGAAAATTTTTCATATATAATGGTATCTCAAAAAATCCAAGTAATCTAGAAATAAGATGTTTAGATTGGATAAATGGTTGATCAATCGATCCTATCAATATCATCTATTTTTTCTAGTTAAGATGGTTGATAGCTTATACTTGGATTTGACATGTTAAAATAGCTTGTGATTAGTATCTATAAAAAATTCTCTTTAATGGAGTTGTGGACTCTCCGATATTTAAATAAGTATTTTTTTTAGAGAAAAAAAATACAATAATACTCTAAAAAGAGATGTTTTTGAAATGTATATGGAAAAAAAAAATTAAAATTATGAATTTTTTAGTATATTGCCAGACTCAATCATGGTTCAGTCTGGTTAATGTTAAATCCACTGTACCCGAGACTTAGCACATTGCTAAGTCCATTCATGATTAGGCGCTAAAGCTAAAATATCTTAATTGAAGTATGTTTATGTTATAGAAAGTGTATAATTGTAATTTTTTTTAATCTTATGGTTTTTTATAAAAATATATTGATACATTGATTCATCCACGTATCCAGTACAGTGAGAAAACAAAGCGACATGAAAATTGTCAATAATTCACTAGCAATTGCTTTTCTCATTGCCTTAGCTGTAATAATCCCCTGCTCAAAACTCTCCACAAGACTATCTCGATGCTCACAGTAATTCTCGTGCACATGTAGGAGTTGGAAATATGATATGGGACAGTAAGGTGGCAGCTTATGCAAGAAACTATATATGTTAATCGGCTCAGGGGTGATTGGAAATTAACTTGTGCATTCTGCAGGTGGATCTTTCGGTGAAAACCTTGCGGTGAGAAGTGCTGCGGTGAAATTATGGGTTGATGAGAAGCCAGAGTATAATTACAACTCCAATTCATGAGTTGGGAAATCGAAAATAATTCATTAGCGATTGTTTGTCTCTCGTTGTCTTGGCTGTAAGAATCCCTTTAGCTAGCTCAAGCTCAAAACTACTCTAAACAAGACTTCCTCAATGCTCACAAACAACAACGCTCGAGTACAGCGGGGTGTTGGACCTTTGGGATGGAACTAAAATTATCAAAATTTGAAAAACCATGAACGTAAAAAATAAATAAAATCATGAAACATAAAACATTAAAACATCCCAAAAAATTGAAATAACCCATCAAATATTAATAAACACAAAGAAAACTAATAAAAAAATAAAAAATCTATGTTTTGCAAAACTTATTTTATTGGCATTGACATATTTGCATGACAAGGCTTGACCGATGTCGGGTTTTTTTTTTAGATTTTACAAGTTAGTTTCATTTTTTTTTCTAAATTCCTTTAGTTTTTTTTTTTAAAACATTTCTTAATTTTATTATTTTTTTAATAAATTTTTCACTTTTTTTATATTTTTAAAATTAATATTTTTATGATTAAATTGTGGGCATTTTCATCCAAAAAATAATAAAAGCATATATGGGAAAAAATATATAAATATATATATGGGCGGATGAGAGAGAAAAACTCTAAAAATGGCATATGGGATAATACCCTCAATATACAAGAGTATATGGACAGATTTTTTTAATCTTTTTTTTTAAAAAAAACTAGTGTGAAGTTTACCGTCATCTCGAAAATACATTGTGGAGATATACAGAATATGATCTGTACATATTCAAACAAAAATCCTATAATCATTTTTTTATAAAAAAATAGCATCACAAGCACTGACGACGACCTACTACTATATTATATGAATAAATACAAATTTGGTATAAAGAAAGGCATCGCGATCCTTTTCTGGAGGCTAGGCTGCTGGCAAGTGTTGAATAAGCATGATGAATTGGTCTTGGCTAACATTTCGTTCCTACCTGAAACCAATTTTGTTAGCTATTCATCTGAGAACGGTCCTCGTATATCTATGGAGTGAGGACAGCTTTTCTCAATATAAAAGGCTGGTGGTGGTACCTTTACACAAGCATCCCTATCCATTTTTATTTTACTACAAAAAATGAAGAGTACTCTTGTAATATTTTTAGTGTTCATCATCTACTTCATCTTTCCTGTTAATGCCTTCCTTCCAAGCATTCTTGGCAACAACTTGATCGAGAAAACCTGCAAGCAGACACCCTATTACGATCTTTGTGTAAGATCTTTAATATCAAGTCCTCGCAGTTTCAATACAGATGTTGAAGGCCTTGCCAAGATAATGGTTCACACCATTAACGCTAGGGCAACCCACACACTACGTCGTATTAACAAGCTGCTTCAACATAGACAGGACACAAATATGAAACGAGCCTTGCAATCTTGTGCCAGTCGCTACGATGCCATAATAAAGGAGGATATTCCAGAATCTCTACAAGCTTTGCGTTTGGGTAACTACAAATTTGCAGAAGCAGGCACAATGGATGCTGCTTTGGAGGCCAGGTTATGTGAAAAAGAATTCAGGAGATGCAAATCGCCCCTGGCTGATATGAATAGGGTTGTACATGACGTCTCCATCGTGGCTGCATCCATTGTTCAGACAATCGTATAAGCGACTGATATCATTTTAATTTTTGTTTAGCCAACTAGGGAATTCGAAATAAATTTTGAGACTTGCAACTGATCATTAATAAGGACATAACTAATTTTGGATGTTGCTTAATTAATTTCTATAGGGTTTGGCGGTTTAGTTCTTTCCTTAAAATCTTGGTCTTCTATGCACCTGATAAATTCTTATTTTGGAAGTAATGGAAGAAGAGTTTTCGTTTTCTTGTTTTCCTGGGGCTCCTGTTATGCTTTGAAAAACGCGAATAAAATCAAAATAGCTACCATGTTCAACTGTGTGGGGAGTGAAATTCTGAGTTATACCTTCGTCTAAAAGATGAGATTGTTCTTGGATTGGACATGGAGGAGCGTTCTTCTGCAGATATTTGGTCGCTCAAAATTTCTGTTTTCCGTTCATGAAAAAGCCCATCTCGATTTATAAGGAAGCATAAAGGCCCAACATCAAAGACAGTACATACTCTAGAGTCCAAGGTGATGTATGGAAACCCAAAACATTAAGTCCACGAGCTAGAATCCACCGACCAAGAGTTCAGCTACACGAAATTCAAAATCCATGCAATTTTTTTTTTTTTGTGGATAATAGATTTTTTTTTAATCTAGAAAATAGTAATGACTTGCAAACATAGTTGTGACTATATGCTAGCTGGTCGAGATTTTTTAATTTTTTGTTATAAAAATAAACTTGAATTCTATGTATAAATCCTTTTATTGGCAATTTTTCCCATGCAAAGATAGAGAGAATCTTATTATAGTATTTTTATTATTATTATTATTCAGTCAGATGTTTCCTATAAAATGACGTTCAGCATTTGACGATAATCTTTATGGCTGGTAGTATAGTATTCATCACAAATTATCATATCTTATAGTTAAAAATGTAGACATTTATAGCATTATTTTTCCTTTCTGATATAATGGCTGAGTTACTCTCGGGTGGCCGGGCACTGTCCTTCTGTTTCTGTCATATTATCAATTTGTCAACGATGATAAAAGGAACTCCGAGTGGCGATGTGTCGATAATACAATTTATTTTTTCACTGACAGAAGTACTCTAGCAATATGAAAACAAATTCGTGATGAACATGTATCTACCTTGTCAAAACCGCAAGAAAAATCAGAGGAAATGGTTAGAAATTCCTTATTTTACGGCGCCGAGCAGCAAATCAAATAATATTTTCACTGATGATCTAGCAATATGGTGACGATGGGCATGTTCAAGAGAGATTAATTATACTTTTTCATGTCTGTAACCTTTAAGAAAATCCCAACTTGCAAGTGCAGATAGAACTGCAAGGGGCATAGTATATGGAAGCAAACGAGGGATTGAACAAATCAAAGAAGACAGAGTATAAAAATGGAGTTGTTTAATCTAAGGAATGTCTTGGTATGCATGTACCAAGTTTATAAGAACTGCTTCGTTTATTTGATTTTATAATATATAGTTGCCATCAAGAATTAACTATTGGTTTCATAAGAGCAATATTGATTCAAAATAGACAACTTGATGTGTTCATAGAACTATTTAGAAATCATGCCATGCTAAAATTCTTAAAATATAAGAGGTACATTCCACAAGAAATGCGTTAGAAATCTTGCGTTAGAAAGAAGCTAGTTAAATTCTATAGAACTTGCCGTTGGTTAGCGAATTAGGAAGTGGCGTCGTGTTCTTTGAATCTAAGACCTTGCTTCATGTATCTTAGCAGCGTCCGCCTCACTTTCAGGCAAGCTTCTGGTAGAACAAACCCATTTGGGTTTGGAGATTGAGGGCTAGCAAAACAAATCATGTTAAGCCAACTTTTAATTTTTCTTCACAAATCAAAATGATGCACCTTCAATTCAATTGATTTTTTCAAAATTAAAATTTAATGAAAAATCATTCATCTCTTGATTTCCTTTCCCCTTGTAATATTGAATCCTTCACATCACGTAGGCTGCTGCAGCCCCTAGTTACTCGATCACCATTATTTTATTATTGTTGACCCCAACATAAAGGAAAAGTCAATCTATAGTAATTCTGTCTCAATTGACAGAAAAAAAAAACGAGTCATTTGGTTGGATCAATCATTACAATGGCAGACATTAATTCATTAAAATATGTATCAAATAATAATTAAGCCTTGAAGTAATTGGCTGCAAGCATCCGTGTGTTATACTGTTAAGAATTGACTTGATGATTCCGCCCCATTCCAGAACATGAACAAAAATCCAAAGAATGGTTTTCTTTATTAAACAGTGATACTAGGCTCTAATGAGTTTTGGCAAGTAAATAATATATGTAGAGAGATTACTAGATAATATCGATATATTGCTTTTCATTTATACAAGAAAATGAGACGTACATGTAGTTATTGTGATAAATTCTACTTTTATACGAGCAGAGGTAAATAGTTCATCGGAATTTCTCTATAGATGATCCTCCTCTTAGGCTCTTACACAGTTACATGCCCAATTATGACACAGCCTATGAGACAAGCAGATCGAGAGATTCGAAGATTATACAAAGCTTACTCGCCCTGCTCATCATCATGAGTTTGAGTTTTGCTAATGGCCTTCAGATATCACGATGCATCTACAAGTAATTAATAGTTTTAACTAAGTTTGAGCGATTAGAATCATCTCTTGCCATAATATTAGGTGGGGGAAGGGTTAACCTACGAATGACGCAAAGGTCATGCCATGGCAGTCCCAAGTTTTCCAGCAGATACATTCAGATAACAACAGTTCATTCAGTTGAGCCTTATTCTAAGTATCAACTCTTGTGATTCTTTGGACACTTATCCATATACTCCTACTAGTTACTTTTCATCGTTTCTTTGCCTCGTGGAAACTGGGAGCAAATATCTCCGCAATCTTATCAGAGACATTAACAAAAAACCTCTCTTAGATTTATGTAATAGATCAAAGTTATTTCAAACAATTTGGTTAAACTGCTTCCTTGTTCTTCCTATTTTATTTCGTTTGCTTCATTCTGAAAAAAGTAAGAACATGGTAATCTCTTTGAGCAATGCAGAAGTTACTAATTTTATCATTTTAAGGATCACCTCTAGGTGACCACGCAAGCTTTATGTCCAAAGGGGGTGTTTTTGTTACTTTAGGTTGCTTAAAACGGTTAAAAGGATGCAAGCTTGTAGCTAAAAAATTCTACATTGTTCCTATAAATTCCCCCATCAACATGCCTTAATGCTCACCAAACATTCAATTAGCTTACTTCAGCATTATAGCAAGAATATACTATGGCTCTGAGTAAGATTTTACCTCTTCTTTTCTGTCTCGTGGGCTTAGCCCTTGTGCATCCTTCCCACGCTCAAAACTCACCACAAGACTACCTCAACGCTCACAACGCAGCTCGTTCACAGGTGACTGTAGCAAATATTATATGGGACAACACGGTAGCAGCCTATGCTCTAAACTATTCCAATTCCAGGATCAGCAATTGCAACCTCGTGCATTCTAACGGCCCTTATGGTGAGAACCTAGCCAAGGGAAGTGGCTCTTTCACAGGTACTGCAGCAGTGAACTTGTGGGTGGCAGAGAAACCTTACTATGACAATGCATCCAATTCTTGTGTTGGAGGGCAATGCTTGCACTACACTCAAGTCGTTTGGCGCAATTCAGTTCGTGTGGGGTGTGCCAGGGTCCAATGCACCAATGGCTGGTGGTTTGTTTCTTGTAACTATGATCCTCCAGGCAACTATATTGAGGAACGCCCTTACTAAGGAATCCTCGAGTTGCCTCAAAATAAGAGAATGTAGCCACAAAGAAAAAAACAAATCAAAAACTTGAACGGTATGAATTAGTAATGAGAAATAATAATGCCTTTGATGAGTGAGCACTGATCTCACTTTAGTCACGACAATCTTTCAATTGCTACACCACATTCTCGCCGTATATTTTGTTTCCTTCCAAGGTACTTTTGCTGTTTTAATTGAATAAACATGAATTATAACCAGTGGTGTTGTATAAACTTATTTTCTTTATTCTGTAAGAGATTAGGATGGAGTAGACGAAAACAAATGAAATGCCATTAATCAGAGAAAAGAAGGAAAATTAAGCATGTTTGACATTCAGAAATAAATATAAAAATAACAGTTTAAACAGTACTAAACAAGAAAACCCTTTAGATGATACTATAACCTTAAAGAACATCACAGTAAACTCATCTCCATACAGAAGCCGGGCTTTTCTCTGCCAAAATAAGTTTCATGGCATCTCGACCATTTCAGCAGCTCTTTTTGACCTATCATTTCCACCTAATGCACCTGAACCATATTATTTTGCAGACCATGAAGTTTTGTGTTTCTCAAAAGCATGGTTTTCTAACATCATCCCTGCTACCACTTTACTTTCCTCGATATCCCACCAGCTATTGCAGATTAAGCAGCAGCTACATCTTTAGGGATACGAAGACCAGCAGCATCATATACTGTAATGAAAATGCATCCAGCACTAACTCATAAACCTTTCACAAAAACAAGGCTGCAATAATCTAAAGATTGATGGGCAGAGAAAGACTTTTGATTACCATTTCAATGACTGATGAATCATTTCCAGCGAGCACTTCAATATCATAGTTCTGTGAATGTCCTATTTGAACAAAAAAGAAAACACAACTTACCCCTTCCAATTGTTCTAACATTTGCACTACCTGGAACGATTCTTTTGCATCACATATATATTATTTCAGCAATGCTTATCTCCCCAAACAAAATGGATCCCCGGAGATCCTTCAGTATGATAACCAAAGCTTGAGTTTTTATCAGGACTCATATCAGCGAAGGGACTAATTTGGATATGGCATGACCAGAACATAGGGCCAGAGGTTTACAAGCTGAAAATGAAGTCGCAGCCTGTCAGAATTTTAAGCCGTGATTCAGCCAGTACATTGTATCTCACACAAATAATTGTAACACAGTGATCCTGTAAGGCTATAAGCCCATAACATGAGAAATCAATATTATGAAAGTTCAATAAACTGGCTCACATGATCGTCAATTGTTTCAGATTCTGGACAAGTCGGACAAAAACACTGGCGGGAAGAGCAGTGTTCAGAAGATAACACCATCATAGTCCACTGCCAAACCCCCTGTTTAAATGGAAAATTAGGTATTCTATCTGTGCCACTTACAAAACAATGGCAATCTTTCTCCTGATCACTAAATTCAGTAAAGACTAGATAAAGTAGTATCCTTCAAAAAAATGTCTCTTTACTAACAGAGAAATCAAGGAGAACACCATGATGACATATAAAACAAGCAAGCGATCAGTCAATCACATAAGAAAATAAAAACATCCAATAACTTGTCATATGAATGGACACAGAATATAATGAACAGATATCAAATACGCAAAATATGATCCCATTGCCTCTAACTTTCCCATTATTCATTGCAATCCAGAATTCCACGTATCCTTAATGATAATTCATAAGTAAAACACTTCTTTCTACAGAAACAGTTTCCAAAAGAAGTTAAATTGAGAACCGTAGTTTCCATCAGTTGGAGGCTTCTCTGTTTGATGGTGTGACTGTTGCGATTCTCTTCTACATACAATAAAGAAGTGTAGTTCCGGCTAGAAAAATAGAAAAACTATACACATGTGGAGAAAAATATTGGGAATTCTAACCGGTGATGTACTGATATTTGCTCATAGAAGGCGAAGCACACTGACACATGGTTTGGCAAACCACCTACATCCACAGGAGAAGCCATTGCATTATGTAGGGAGAGTACAAGATTTACAATAATAGAGAAAGAGGAATCATCCTCTCTTTGACAACTCTCAACCTCACTCTATTTCTTTTTTTTTTTAATGCTACAATGGCAGTCCACTCTCTTCTATATTTCTCATATTTTTTGCTCTTTTTTTTCTTTTATTTTGCTCTTTCACATATACCTCTATTTATAGGCATTCATGGAGGCTTTTCTTGCTTTGTTGTCAATATTGATGACCACCAACTTTAGCTCATTCAATAATGGTGGCTATCAATAGTCAATGGTTAATGGTTGGTATCCTACATGAAATGACAACCAACCTAATAAAAAACACGGAATCTGAGAAAGAGAACAGCATTGGATGAGGTAGTGGAGGAACTCTTGTGTGCCAAATGCAAAAATTCTTTGCTTGAACTGTCCATCCCCAGCTCTCTTTCTCAGTTAACTCCGTTGCAGGAGGCTGAGTTAAGTGAAAGCAGAGAGGCTCCTCTCTCAAGTCTCTGCCAAGAGCCCAGAACCCAAGAGGGCTTCCCTTTACACAACGATTAAAAATCGTACTGCCCATAAAAGCCCATGGCCTTACAAAATTGAAAACCAAGGCCCACACGATTTTTTATATCAAAGGCTTCTTCTCTTTCCTAATTCACTGGTTATATGACGGTTTCATATATGATCCAAACCAGGGGTTAGCATTTTTTAATAATAAAAATAAACAAAGTATAGATATTGTTAGATCGGATATAAAATCCAGCCCAAACCTGATCTTTATCTTCAGTAATAAAGCATATTCGGATTATAAATATAATAAACAAGATATGAATATAATGAAACCAATATATTAATAAACATTGTCGTGTAAATTGATCCGTACAAAACTAGTTTAGGGTAAATTAGAATCTATAGAATGCAAATGCTTTCATGTATGGCTGACGTGGGATTAAATTATTATAATTGATTTCCAAATATTTATTGAAGATTTGAAAACGGAAGCAAATTACACCAAACTAATATTTCTTTAATATATCAGGACCTTTGCACTGGGTTTGGAATATGGAGTCACTGTAATGCTCGTGTTTTATCAATTTTTAATCGATCAGAAAACAATCAAAGAGGGCAGATGAAGGTTACAGTGCCATTGTAATGACATTTTGTTATGTTAAAGCAATCAAGTTGTCTTGTGCTACTCAAAATCATTAATGAAGATAGTTTTTTCTGTTACTAAGTCACTTTAATACCACATTGGGCAACACGAGGTGGAAAAGACAAAGTTAGAGCCTTGAGTTTTTCGAACATGTTAGAAGGGCCTAAGGACTCAGATAAGTTTTGGCTCAATTGACTTCTAGCAGCTTCAGCACTTCATCTTCTCCGCAGATTATTTCCTTGTCTGCAAGATTAACTCAAAATGCGGGGCCTTCACGAGTGGATTTGATACACATTTCAAGCCTTTCTTTGGTAAAAGCAACACTATATATATATATATATATATATTCATGCTTGGTCTAAATTAAGGTTGCATCCAATTCGATCCTTTAGGAAGGTCAAAAGGTTGCGTTTCTTGTGAGGTGGAGATACTTTCACCAATAATTCGAAACCTTTCAAGTTGTTATTTAGGCAATAACATTTAATGATAAGCAAATTATAAGAAGAGAAACAAATAAATAACTCCTTTTCTATCAGTATTTTGGAAGAGAACATTCTTTTGGGAGGTTATTTTGGAATCTCTTGTTATCTTGACAGTAGTCGTAGATCATGTGGTGCAACCTGACCCACTTGAACCACCTTCTTTGTGTAGATGTTAAACTGCTATATCTTTCCTTGTTCCACCAATTAGTAGAGCTTTCTGCCCTACAAAACCTTGGATTTCCATTCCAAGGGCAAGCATCGATCTTATAATTCCTGAAGGAAGCTATAAAGGGACCCTTTGACCAATCAATTTTGTCTTTTCCACCTCGTGTTGCCCAGCTGTCGCCGTTCCATAGGCTGGCTTTGATGCTCATTGGCTGCCACCTAGGATATGCTACTCCTTTGTCTGCATGGTTTCTGTAGAGTCTGATAGGAATCCCATCCACCATGAACCTGAAAAGCGAGAAACACCATGGATATATATATATAGTCCCTTAAGTTGTCTTTCTTAGACTTGCTAACAATTAGTTAAAATTGGCTTACACAATTTGGTGAAGGTTCCACAAGACCGAATAAGTATGGAAGTTTTTTGTTGGATCAAACCAGAGATAAATCCTCTCTTCACGATCATCATTCCCATCAGCATAAACATTTGTTTGAAGAATATATGGTTGGCCACTCACATTTCCAAGGAATTCAAAATCTATCTCGTCACGTTTAGGTTGATCCGATGAGAGCTGCAATATTGTCATTTGCCAATACATTTGAGAAATGCAACTGGACATATAAAAAGAAAATTAAATAAATATATATATGTACTTGATTCAATTTACTTACATAAAATGCCACGACTGTGCCTGCTGAATGACCTGGTACTAATTTTATTTGCATATCAATCTGCCCGAATAAGAACATCTGGTTCGAAGCAAAACCGGATCCTAAAAGAACAGTAGTAATAAGATAAATGAGCACCAAGACATTTTTCAAGTTAGTTTTCGTAGATTTTGTAACTCATACCAGATTCTTGGTCTAGTTTCAAGCTTCTTGTCCCGCCATCAGCAGTGGTGTATACATGGCCCGGAGACCATGCTACAGAGAAGTCCTTGTTGAAATCTCCGGTTGAAATAACAGAGGAAAATGATACTTGAAAAGTATTTGTGATGAGTAGTCCAATGAAGACTACGAATTTGAAAGTAGTAGACATTGTTTTCGCGAAGATGACAAGGAGAGGAAATGTAGTGAAACAGGGAAATGCTTGATATGCTATATATATGTATTGCATGAGAAGGAAATGAATAGGAAGCAATAAGGTTGTTGTTTAAGAAAGAATATCTTTAGAGAGAAGCAAAGGAATTTTATATTGTTAGCATCTTATTGGATATAACTTGCAGAGTTAGTTAGATATGTATTAGAATGTTATAAACAGATCGATTAAAGCTCAACAAATGACTTAAGATTTCCAGTTTATTACATGGGTATCATTCATTTTCAGGTCCAATGAACTATCTTGTCGGTCCTTACAGATGACTTCATGAATGCCTCATGACAGTAAATATCAAGAATGGTCCGTCCATTTGGAGTTCCAGCATTTGAGTAAAAG